TAAATATGATAATTTTATATTTAAAGAGCGAGGGACTTAACGTATTTCAAATAAACCTCTTTGAATACTTGATAACGGATTGTGATTGTGGTAGATCCATTGAAAAAGTACAATATGCATTATTTTGTCATGATATCGAAGAGGCTTACAATGATTATAACCTTGATGGTAATTTATAATTAATATAATTTTTAGCTTTAGATTTACTGACACGATTTTTTCAATATATTCGCCAATTAATATACTTTGTTTAGTTTTAAATTTATTTAGAATATAAAAAAAAAACTCAACCCAGTAGAGTGGGGTCGCGGCGCAGTGGTGACGTGGCATTGTTAGGTCTAGTATAGATTTAATCTGGCAGTGATTAAAATCACTATCTATAAAAACGCTTCGATGTAAATCTGTAGATAGTGTTTAATTTTAAGAAATTGGTGGATTACTACAAAAGCAACGTGATATCCTAATTCCTTATTTGTATCCTTATTACATGTTTTATGATTTATAAGTGTAATATATGTATAAATATTTATTATAGCAATTAAGTATAGTATAAAATTGATATTCAATAATTTAGTAGTGTATTTTTTACGAGAAATTATAAAAAATTATAAAGTAGTTAAAACTTTTATGGCAAACGCATATAAAAGTTAAATTTCTTGTTGCAATATTTAAAAAAAAAAATTTGTATGTTATTTATAAATAAATTTACTGGTCTACAAGCAATTTTCATCCGAGACCAAAATATACTTTTTTAAATCCATTTTTGCGCCAATTTCAAATCTGCAATTAAAGATTCGCATATGGCCTAAATAATAACAAAGTCCTTCTAATTAATATAACAAATATTTATGTTTGATTATTATTTTAAGTCTGGATTAATCAATACATATAATTTAATTACGGATAAGTTGAAAAAGTTCTACTTTCTATACGCATTTTAAGGTTTGAACCCTCCTGTAAAAAGAAAAATTATCCGATTTAAAAAAAATATATGTCTAATGAAAGAAGTATATAAATAGAATTTCTCATTACAAAATTATACTGAAACAATACATTTTTCAAAAATTTATAGAAATATTAAGTTAAAAATGTAAAAAATGAAATTGGGAATTTAAGCACAAAAATAGCATACGGTAGTCATTTTCACCGTTAAGACAACATAAAGTCCTATTTTTTTTTTCCATATTACATTAGGCTTAATTAAAGTTTATGCATAAAAGTGTCAGTATTTCAGGAATACTTTCAAATGTTAAGTCGATAAAGTTAATTTTTTTGAAAAAGTTGTAATTGTGTATCCCTCTTGTAAAAGAAAAAGGTCAAATTTATAAAAAAATTTTTTCAAAATAATATTTTAATTGATATAGATTCGTGAATCTAAAAAAAAATGTATATTAATTTGGTCTTTTTTAAAAAACTTATGGCAGTTTGAAATAAAAACAAAAAACCAGCACAGTAAAAAATAAAATCGAGTATTTTCACACTAAAGTCCGAATTTTATTTTTTCCATAATAAAGTATATTACATTAACTTTAATTTAAGATATACATAAAAGTGTCAGTATTTCCGGAACCCTTTCAAAAGTTAATTTTTATTGGAAAAGTTTCTATTATGAAACCCCCCTGTGTGCATGTAAAACATGGTCCGATTAAAAAAAAACAGTATGTCGAATGTAAGGTGTATATAAATACTACTTTTCATAAAAAAATTGTATTGATCCATACGGCTTTCAAAAAGCATAGAAATATAAATTTAAAAATGTGAAATACAAAATCGAGAATTTTCACACAAAAATAGCATTCAGTAGCCATTTTAACCGTGAAGACAAAATAAAGTCCGAATTTTTTTTTTTCCATGATAAAGTATATTACGTTAGTTTTAATTTAAGATATATATAAAAGTGTCAGACTTTCCGGAACATTTTCAAAAGTCAAGTCTTCAACTAGATTTGATTTGTGATCTTTTGACGTATCTTTATAATCAAACGTTTTCTACACTATAAATCAAAATTTTCACTTCATACAAAAAAAATGTATATTGATTTGGTAATTTTTAAAAAAGTTATGCCAATTTGAAATAAAAACAAAAAACCAGCACAGTAAAAAATAAAATCGAGTATTTTCACACAAAAGTCCGAAATTGTTTTTTCCATAATATAGTATATTACATTAGCTTTAATTTAAAATATATATAAAAGTGTCAGACTTTCCGGAACACTTTCAAAAGTTAATTTGAAAAAGTTAATTTCTTGTGAAAAAGTTATCATTTTTAATCCCCCTCTATGGTCAGGTAAAGGGTCAGATTAATTAAAAAAATATATCCAAAGAAAGGCTAAGACATCATGCATCTATACAGAACAAATTATATTGATCCATACATTTTTTAAAAAACTATAACATTATAAAGTTAAAAATATAAAAATGAATTTATTACAAAAAACATATTTTTTTTATTAACTTTGATATCTGTTTTCACCGTGAAGACATATAAAGTGCGAAAAATTTTTTTTCCATAATAAAGCATATTTCATTATCTTTAATTTAAAATATATATATAAGTGTCAGACTTTCTGGATCACTTTCAAAAGTTAATTTGAAAAAATTCTACTTTCAATATGCATTTTTAAGATTTGAACCCCCCTCGTATATAGGAAAATGGTTCGATTTAAAAAAATAGTATGTCGAATGAAAGATGTATATAAACACTACTTCTCATGAAAAAATTGTGTTGATCCATACATTTTACAAAAAGTTATAGCAAAATAAAGTTAAAATGTAAAATACAAAATCGAGAATTTTCACACAAAAATAGCATTCGGTAGCCATTTTCACCGTGAAGACAAAATAAAGTCCGAAATTTTTTTTTTCTATGATAAAGTATTTTACATTAGCTTTAATTTAAGATGTTTATTTAAAAGTGTCAGACTTTCTGGAACACTTTCAAAAGTCAAGACTTCAACTAGATTCGATTTGTGATCTTTTGACGTATTTTTATAATCAATCGTTTTCTACACTATAAATCAAAATTTTTTCTTCATACAAAGTTAACTTTTGTTTCGTATGAATCAGCTAGACCGTAGAATGTTTAGTTTTGCACCGCACTAGAATGCCGTTTACCTTAAGTCTGTTTAAATCACTATTATTCTAGCAGGAGGATGACCGCTAATCGCACATCTAATAAGTAACGAGAGTAGACAATAATTAATGGCACGTAATGGTGGATAAGAACAGACGGCAGAAAACCGACTATAGCAGTGTAGTTATTTAACCATAAAATGTTGTTTTTATGTGTACATACGAGTCACTAAGGTTTTTCTAATTTGGTAAATTTGAATTATTATATTTTAATTGTAAACATATGACAGAATAATGATATTTCTATAGTGTAGATAAGATGTTAGTACTTTTCAGTCAGTGGTTTTTAAACTACAGACATGGATTTAAACTTAACTGTTCAGCGCAAATATGCGTACGATGACATGTACCAAACGGGTGTAGTAATGTTATACTGCAGTGCGCGACTAGTGACATATACTTATTTGCTATTAAAACTCATTAGTAAAATATGAATATATTTCATGTTTGTATTAACATCAAGTCAAAATTTTATGGTAGTGTAACTATGTAAACTAATACTATGAAGAGATTACTATTAAGAAAATTTTTTTCGTATTTTTAAATAATTTTTTAGCTTAGATGCAAAGCTGAGAAGGTATTAATTTTACAATGATGTATTTTTTTTTGTCTGTTACCACTATAAATCAGTTCTCACTGGACCGATTTTGATGAACAATAAGTAAAAAACTTACAAATAGTATTTAGTCGAAGACATTACCATAAAAAATTGAAAAAATTTCCCTCGTTCCCCATAAATGAGTGAAACCTCCAAAAAAATTACAAATTTAAAATCGCTAATCTTCAAATTTTTTAAAAATTTTTTTTTTTTAAAAGTGCCATAAAATGAACATATCAACAAAATTCTTTTTTATATAGATCTATAATATCATTATCTTTCATTTGGCATATTTTTTTTATAAATCTGACACTTTACTTGACCACAGGGGTGGATTCTTTTAGTCTAGAATTAAGCTTCGATGCAAAGCTAAATTTTATTTATAAATCATTTTACTATGATGTGTTTTATTATTTTTTTTTTTGTGTCTATTACCACTTTTTCTCAGCTCTCACCAAACTGATTTCTTACAATGATACGTCAAAAGATCACAAATCATAACTATTCGAAGCCATTTTTCTCAAAAACTGAAAAAATTTTCCTCGTTCCCCGTAAAGGGAAAAAATCACCAAAAAAATTACTAATTACTAAAATTACTAATAATTTTATTTACATTTTTTAATTCGAAATGTATCAATTTTTTCTACTTAAAACTAATAAAACTTTTTCAAAAAAGACTAAATCAATATAATTTTTTTTGTAAATGTATAATGACTTTACCTATCATCTGGTATATTTTTTTAATAAATCTGACCCTTTACCTGGCCATAGAGTAGGATTAAAAATGATAACTTTTTCACAAAAAATTAACTTTTTCAACTTAAATTTTGAAAATGTTCCGGAAATACTGACATTTTTATATATATCTTAAATTAAAGCTTATGTAATATACTTTAATTTGAAAAAATATAATTTGACCCTGGATTTGTCTTTATGGTTAATAGGACTGACGTATTAAAAAAATATGATATTTTTATGATAAAAATTCTTGATTTTATAATTTTTATTTTAGCTTCGATGATAAGTTGAGAAGGTTTTACTATGATATGTTTTTTTTTTTTTGTGTCTGTTACCACTTTTTTCATTTCTCACCGAACGGATTTTTTTCAACAATACGTCAAAACAAATCGTATCTAGTCGAAGACATTACCTCCAAAAAAATTTAAAATTTAAAAATCGCTAATTTTCGTAATTTTTTCAATTTTTTTTACTTAAAAGTGCCATAACTTTTTCAAAAATGAACAAATCAATATAATTCTTTTTTATATAGAGGTATAATATCAATACATTTCATTTGGTATATTTTTTTCATAAATTTAACCCTTAACCTGCCCACAAGAGGGGATTTAAAATGACAACTTTTTTACAAAAAATTAATTTTTTTAACTTAAATTTTGAAAATGTTCCGGAAGGTCTGACACTTTTATATATATCTTAAATTAAAGCTAATGTAATATAATTTAATATGAAAAAAAAAATTTTACCTCTGGACTTTTTTCATGATGAAAATGGCTGCCGAATTTTTTTTTTGTGTGAAAATTCTCTATTTTATAATTTACATTTTTCACTTTAAAATGCTATAACTTTTTAAAAAATGTATGTATCAATACAATTTTTACATGAGAAGTAGTATTTGTATACATCTTTCATTCGAAATACTTTTTTTTTAAATCAAACTATTTTCCTATATACGGGGTGGCTTCAAATTTAAAAATGCATATAGAAAGTAGAACTTCTTCAACTTAATTTTTGGAAGTGTTCCGGAAATACTGACACTTTTATGTATATCTTAAAATAAAGTTAATGTAATATACTTTATTATGGAAAAAAAAAAATTCGGACTTTTATTTGTCTTCGTGGTGAAAATGACTTTCGAATGCTATTTTCATGTGAAAATTCTCGATTTTATTTTTTACATTTTTAACTTTATAATGCTATAACTTATTGAAAAATGTATGGATCAACTCAATTTTTTTATGAGAAATAGAATTTTTTAATAATCCCTTTTTCTTTCAGGATATTAATAAAAAAATAGGAGATCATGTAGCTTTTGCAATAATCCACAAATTTTTTTAAATTAAACACTATTTAAAGATTTGCATCAAAGCGTTTTTATTTTTGATAGTGATTTTAATCATTGTCAGATATCATTATACTTGATCCAACTAACTATGCCGCGACCCCCCTGTTCTGGGTTTTGTTTTTAACTTTATGTTGCAATAACTTTTTAAAACATATTTAGATCAATACAATTTTTTCATGAGAAATACTATTTATATACTTCTCTCATTTGACCTATTTTTTATTTAAATTGGACGATTTCCCTTTATACAAAAGGTAGTTCTATCCTTTAAATATGCGTATAGAAAGTAGAACTTTATCAACTTAACATTTGAAAACAGCGCAAAAAGTTGAAAAAGAAAAGTCTATTTTTTCTTCTAAACTTAGTTCCATGTAGTCCAGTGTATTTATTCATAAGTAACATACAGTTTTTATTGAAAAGTATTGCGTCAAGCCTTTAAATTTTTATCCGCGTTANATTCATAAGTAACATACAGTTTTTATTGAAAAGTATTGCGTCAAGCCTTTAAATTTTTATCCGCGTTAAAAATAAAAAAGTATATAACAACTTTATTATTTTTATAATTTCTCCGTAATAATTACAATATTAAATTATTGAATATCATTTTTATACTAAATTTAATTATTATTTTATTATTATTAAGTAATAATTATTATTAATAATAAAAGAAATAAGTTATTGTTGCTTATGAAATAATCTACCAATTTCTTAGAATTAAACACTATCTACAGATTTTCATCGAATCGTTTCTTATGATAGTAATGTTAATCACTGTTAGATATTATCTATACTTGCCCCGTCCACACTGTGCTTCAACCCTACTGTGCTACCGTTTTTTATTCTTATTTTTTTTCAAAAAATATTATATTGATGATGTTTAATTTTCAATTTTTTTTTTTTAATCCTGTTGTGGTCCTATAATACATTATCTCGAAAAATACGATAATCGAGTGTCATGATTGGCCACGGTTGGCTGTAAAGTATATTTTACATTATAATTTAATTTATAAAGTTTCAGTTTATCCGTACATACTCGTAATACGAAAATGTTTTTTTTTATGATATGTGTAACCTTTTANTGGTGCTCTCTCAGAACATTTAACCTAGAACTACCATTAGTATTTATACTACTACACTGAGTTTTTGCATCCTAATTTTTATTAAATATTACAGCATTATGCAATTCCGAACAACAAAAGTTTACAAATGTTATCCTGTGTAACTGAATTTTTCTTATATTCTAAAATAATACTAAAAATTTAATTTTCTTTGAAATAGAAAAAGTTGAAAAATTATTTTATTAACGTATTTCCATTAAATTTTACAAACCTAATCTCTTTAAACACCCTACAACTGATTTTAAAAATTACGTGTTAATAAATTTGAATGTAATAAGATATGATGAAAACTTTTTCTTGAATCACATTTTTATATTTTCATTGTGTTTTGAGAAAAATTATTAATAAAACATGAAATTTTAAATACACTCTATTTAAGATATTCATATTTTATAGATGAAATAAGTGTAAGAATTTTCAAGATTTTGAATTTTTTGGTTAGAATTAAAAAGAGAGGCGATGACAAAAGAGTAAAATCACATAATAATTAGTTTATTAGCCTTTATATATGACTTATTTATTAAATTATTTTTTATTCATTAGGTTGAAAAACTTGATATAAATGAGGTTCAAATAATCTCGAATAAATTTAGTAATATTGATACAGACAACAATGGCTTGATACTTAAGGAACAATGCATTACATTGATTGATTNGGAACAATGCATTACATTGGTTGAATCTATTGGTTACTGTCATTCTAGTAGTGGATTCGTAATTATAAATTTATTTAAAAATATTCATAATTATGTACATACAAGATACATTGCATATGATTTTTTCTCTCTACACAAAAATAGTACAGCCAAAATTGATTTTGAAAAAATAATAATAAATAAGATCATAAAAATATATGCACACGAATTATGACCAAAAATATTCAGTGTTCCTCACAATAATTTTACATATATTTTTATTCTCAATTTTTAATAAATCTCACAACAAGAAAATTATAGTTACGTTAACTTTTCTGAATTAGAACTTAGCCAACTTTACTTATCACAAAATACAATTTAAGAGATCATAAAGTAAATTTTATACAGTGCAATTTATTAAATATTTTTTGTAAAATAATGATTTTTTCATAAAAAAGTATAGAATAAAATTAAATTTTTTAGCTTTGATGCAAAGCTGAGATGGTATTAATTTTACTACGACGTTTTTTTTTATTATTATTATTTTTTTTTGTCTGTTACCACTTTTTCTCAGGTCTCACAGGATTGATTTCTTTCAACGATACGTCAAAGATCACAAATCGTATCTAGTTGATGATATTACCCTCAAAATTGAATAAATTTCTCTTGATCCCCGTAAATGGCGGAAATCTCCAAAAAATCACAATTTTCAAAATTGCTAATTTTCGAAATTTTTTTACTTAAAACTGCCATAAATTTTTTAAAAATGACCAAATCAATATAATTTTTTTTATAGATTAATGAGGTATTTACTTATTATTTGGAATATTTTTTTTATAAATTTGTCTCTTTACCTTTACAAGGGGGGATTCAGAAACATTTTCTGAACTTTTTTTGAAAGTGTAAATAAGTGAAATACTGACTCTTTTATATATACCTTAAATTAAAGCTAATGTAATATGTTTTATTATGAAAAAATAAAATTTTGGACTTTACTTTGTCTTCATGGTGAGAATGGCTATCATACGCTTTTTTGTGTTAAAATTCTCGATTTTATATTTTACATTTTTAAATTTATATTTCTATGCTTTTTGAAAGCCGTATGGATCAATACAATTTTTTTATGAGAAATAATTTTTAAATACTTCTTTCATTCATCATATTTTTTTTTAAGTCGGACCATTTCCCTTAATACAGGGGTAGTTCAAAACTTAAAAATGCATATAGAAAGTAGAACTTTTTCAACTTAATTTTTAGAAGTTTTCCAGAAATACTGACACTTTTATATACATATCTATTTATATAAATTTAAAGGTTATATTATATACTTTGATATGATATTACAAGTAGGCAATTCCTATTGCGTTGAGATATTGGATATGACCCCATTAGATCAATACTAACAAACTCCCATTGCCGGCGGGGCTGTCTTGGTCGCATCGGGTCGTCTTGCTTTTGGTTCAGCGGTTAAACACAAGCATACGCATGAAATCATGCGATATATTGATGTATCGACTCTTTCATATTGTCCCAGAAGAAACGATTACCAATGCTATGGTAAGTTTCTTTTCACCCTGGATGTCCTGCAGAAACATGGTCATGATACCTCCTAGCAGGTGATCTGACATATCCGAAGGAACAACGATAATCTTCCCGTCTGTTCCGTTATTTACCGGGTATTTTAACAAAATACCATCTTGCAAGTTGTATTCTTGGTGTTAGCGCCTGTAAATTGGTTTATCACTCCGGAGCTTCCGGACATACTTGGCCAAAGTTTCATCTTTGGCTTGCCACGTTCTTATATCGGAAATAGCTATATTCTTCGGATAGGCATTCTTTTTTTATGGCCCCTAGTTTATTTCGTACGGGTAAATCTCCGGTCAACGGTAGATCATGGTAGTTTTCATCTAAACAATCTTCATCTACCGGAGTTTTCTACACAAGGCTTCTTGATAGGGCGTCCACTGCTTAATTTTCAACTGCAGGCACGTGCTGAATATTAATGTCGAACGCTCCTAGCTTTAACGCCTAGCGGGTCAACTTACTGTTGGTGTAGGTAGAATAAGGAACAATTCAATACATTGATTGATTCTATTGGTTACTGTGATTATAGTAGAGGAATCGTAATTATAAATTTATTTAACAATATTCATAAGTATTTACATACAAGATACGTTGCATAAGATTTTTTCTCTCTACACAAAAATAGTACAGCCAATATTGATTTTGAAAAAATAATAATAAATAAGATCATATATTTATATTCACACGAATAATAACCAAAAAAAGTTCAGTGTTCCTCACAATCATTTTTCATATATTAAAAATCATATTAAATCATTTTATTTGTTCATATATGAAAAAATTTATGTCAGTTTTAATAAAAATGTTTAAAAATATCGAAATATACAGATTTTAAAAATTAATTTTTTTTCATTATTAAGAGCAATGTCTTCAACTAAATATGATTTGCGATCTTTTGACGTATCGTTAAAAAAATTGGTCCAGTGATATTTAAAAATCTGACGACAGATTTAAAAAAAACACATTATAATAAAATATTAATACACTCTAAGTCTCGCATCGAAGCTATTATATTATATTATAAACTTATTATATGTTTTTAACTATCAAAATGAGAATAGTCTTTATTTTAATAGGGTGAAAACTGTATGAGTTGTTAAAATTTTTATTTATAGAAAAGCGGATTGTTCAGGTAGGATAGAAGGATTCTTATCATTGTATTATTGTATAAATAGATCATTGCTAAACACTAACTCGCTCCTCATTTTTCCTAAATTATCAAACTCTAATACCTTAAAAAATAATTTAACATTAGTTAACGATAAGTCAAAATTTTATTTTAACAATTATACATTTTATAGTAAAAATTTAAAAATAAGTTCCATTTAAATTTCGAAAATTACCTATAACATCTACCTTAGGAAAAATTTTTCCTTTTAATAAACTTGATATTCAATGGCTCAAGATAAAAATATTTAATTTTCATTTTTAAATTTTTTGTGAAAAAATTATTATTTAACGAAAATATTAAATAATTGCATGTTAAATTATTCACACTTATCTGAATAATCAATTATCAAATGAATTAAAATTATCTATAGTGATAATAGTATCACTATAGATACTATTATTCTAATACATAAGTATTCTTACTAAAGAATTTAGAATCTTTTTATGAATAATTTATAAGCAGTTCTAAATTATTAACATAATTTTTAATATATTAAATTATAAATAATAAAAAATGAGAGATATTTTTTGTGAATTGGAAACTCTGCGAATTTAAAAGTAATTATGTAAACCTATTCTATGTTGAAAACTGTTAGAGTCAATCATAAATCTATCTTTTCAATTAATTTCTAATCCCTGAAAAGTTTTTCTACGAATGTTAGCTCATTTTTGCTTACATACGTTTCAAGATGAGTGATCGTGATTTAAAAATTGAAATACACTGTGCTGTACGATTTTGACTTCAATTAAACAAATCTGCTCCTGAAATCGTTAAGATAATAGTGACATTTTAAAAAAAGAATCCTTAAGTAAGTTAACAATATACCGATGGTACAAAGCATTCAAAGAGAAACACGTCGAGTCCTCGCCGCCGATAAAACTTTTAAAGAAAAAACAATGATCACAGTCAGTTATTCTGATATTTTTAGTACATCAAGTGGTTTTTTATCACATCACTCTTAAAAAAAACCACATCGCAGAAAATTGGATGTTACATCATTATAATGCCGTTCTTATATAGTGTACGCAAATTTCTNTACATCATTATAATGCCGTTCTTATATAGTGTACGCAAATTTCTCACGGAAATTAAGGTAGTGGTAATGGAACATCCTCTATATAGCCTCGAATTCATGATCAGTGATTTTTGAATGTTTTTGAAGCTGAAGTCAAAAATTCAGTTCAAACCCAAAAATAATCGGATCCTTACAGACGTTTTTCATGTCACTTGAAATAAACGCGTTTTCTACATTCTTCTAAAAGTGGATTTTGTGTTAGGACTATTGCATGAAAATTACAGGGAGGATGCAAAAACTTTGAAATGGAAGTAAAAGTTGACAAGTTTCTGAATTTTTTTATTGAAGTAGATAATTATTTGAATTGTATCTTGTAATTGTATCTTGA